GATTGCTTATGAAATTGAACCTAGCACATAGTTTGAGAGATTTTATGGGGTCTGTTTCTTTGTTATCTGCAAGCTCATACCAGTGCATGGGAGACTGCTTCCTGATGAGGTGCGCTGAGTACTACCCAGTGCAATTTTTAAGCGTTGGTGACAATTGTATTAAGATGCTTCTGAAACCTCTAGTGATTGCACCATGCAATCTCTTGGGCAGCTGGATTATTATACAAGCCAGATGCTGCAATGTAATACAAGGATAATTCTAAAAGCCATCACTCCTGTGCTGGGAAATTCAGGAGATTTATTTCAGGTTGGAGTCACGATAAAACTTTGCCAACGTATTATTGATTCTTAAAGCATCTAGCCTACTTTAATTGCAGAATATATTTTGAAGCTGGAGTCTAATGGCTTATGAAGATTAGTAATGGGAAGCACAGTTTCACTATAACTGAGTTAAACGGTGTTATTTCCCAAGATCAAAAAGGCCTTGAACTTCAGAGACACATATGTCTAAACAAGCTCTTCACGTAGGTATGCAAGCCTGTGAAGTGTGGGAGCATGCCAAGGTTACTCGGATGTGTATCTGCATTACACCTTTGCAATCTGACATGCCTGGTCTCATGAATGACTTACATGCCTAAATTATGTACTTGTGCTTCACAGATGAAGGTACAGATATCTGTGATCACTTGGCCTGATGCCTGTAGACGTATTAGATACGTTAGCTGTTGGTTTTACTGGAGAAATGAAACTACTGAAGTGTTGTGTGATGCAATTTATTGGTTTTTGAGTCTGTATGCAATATTTTAGCATCTTTTCATGACTGCAGACCCTGTAGCTTTGCCTTTTTCTTTAGTTTTTTGTTTTTCTTATTAGAGGTGGTGGGCTAAAGTGCTTGAGTGAAAGAAATGTCTGTAGTTTAGGGATGAATCCAAGCACCTGAGGAGATATTATCTGCAATAGTTCCTCCTTTAAATCTACTTGGTTTATGAAACAAAATAATGTCACAGGTTTGCATTATAAAGTTATGGAAAATTATTAAAGACACTGAAGGAGCCCATGCTCTGGAAAACCAAATATCCTGGGTATACAGTTATTTCTAGGGCATGGAGAGTTTCAGTCGATTGCTTTTTAGATGTTTGTATCTTGATATGTTCATGATCTTAGCCTGACTAGACCTTTAGATGTCCCGGGGAATAGACATCTATATAAATCACCTTACTTAAGTAGCAGATATGTTATTTAAAGGAATGCCCACTAGATGAGAATAAAAGCAACTTAAGAGGTTACAAGGGTCATCATTATAGAGTGGTCACAGTACTGTTACCCAAGCCACTCAGGGAGGGTATTTGGACTCCCTGATTCAAAGTCAGCCTGACACTTTTGCAGGCATATGAGACATTAGAAGAGGAAGAGGAGAACTTCAAGATAGATGAGCCTAGCTCCCTCAGCTCATTGAAAATGAGCTGCCTTGGCAGCTACCGAGAAGACTTCTATTATCTGGTTGTCTTTAGGAAATAGTGCAATCCAGTGTTGTACCTGGTCTCTGATATGCTGAATGGCAGGGTAAGAGAAAATGAGCTCAAAGTAAATGAAAGGTTTGTTTTATCAATGTTTCCTTCCACAGCTGTGTTGGCCTTAGCATCTCACCCTGTCTCCACCACACACACATCTCTCTGTGCTGCCCCTTTGGCCCTTTTTGTTTGTTTTGGCTGATTATTTTTAATTAACATCAGTTCAGCATGTTGCTATGCCAACAGAGATGTACTCGCATTCCTGACTGAGGACTGGGTGGAGGAAGGAAGGCTGTTTAAAAAGAGCATTGCTGCTTTAAGAAAGGCTTTTGAAAGTACAGCCTGGCAGTGGGGAGAAAAGATGTTCATTAAAACTGAAGGGTAGAGGCATGTTTTTACCCTGGACGATATATAAGTCAGTCTTGGAGGGGGGTTGCCAACTGCCCCAGTGTGCTTCTAGGTGGAGAAAATAATCTGACATTTCCCCAGTTTTCTCTAGCTGTGATAAGAAGGGATTAGCTGTTAAGAAGTTAGACTAGTGATTTGGATAAAGGAGGAGGTCAACACAGCCTTTGAGCCCTTGCCCAGACCTTGGACCAAATTCAACCTGAGAAAAAAGTTTAAGGCAGAAACTGGTAATTTTTGTTTAGCATTTCTCCACGTTCTAATGTTGGTTAGGATAAGAAATAAAATCATAATACATCTTTTTCTCAGTCTTTCCTGCTGGTGGCTGTGGAACAATGCTTATGTTGTTTCCTCTGTGATTTCTTGATTTTAAAATGTGTCTGGGTAGAAGTCCAGGGCAGATATCCTAGCTGGCATACAGTGGCTTCCCTCTGAAACTGCCAGGCAGGTGGCACCAAGGGAGAGTGTGTACATTAAATGTTTGATGTTCTCCTGTTTAGCCATTTGCATTCAGTATTCTTCAAATTCCCCCCTGAAGTTTGCTACAGATCACACAAATCTTCACCCTGTCAGTGAGATATGTTTATGCATTACAGTTTTGAGTTGGATCAGTGCAGACTGATCTTCCCATAGGAGGTGCAGATCACCTGTTTTCACACCGAGATGCAAAGATCTCTCCCTTCCTTTCTCTCCTCTCTCCATCTCCCTCTTCCCTTTTCTACTATAAATTTAAAATGCTGAAGAGTGGGCTCAAAATGGCAACAATTCAGAAAATCTAGGAAGCCTCTTCTACACTGAACATGTAGACACACACACACATCTGTTAAGCCTTGTCTAGGAAACTGCTTGTGTAACTACTCATAGACTATATTAGCCTGCTCCAACACACCCAGTCCCAAATACAGACCTGCTTGCAAGCTGCTTGTTATAACAGAGCTTCTACCTGAAAGATGAGTAAACATTAGGAAGAAGAGGAGATACAGCTCAACTAATGATGTCTACTGCCTTAAGAAGTGAAATACATTATGGTAGAGTCGCAAAAGCAATGTATTGCTGTTTGTTACGAGGCTGTCTTCCCCAAGCCTTGCTCACCAGTACTAGTGCTTTTAATATATCTCACTGACCTGCATGCCCCACTTGAAATCTTCAAGGGAATCATGCAGTAAAATGAGCACTGCACCATCAGTGAGAGAGGTATGGTTATTAAGGGAAGTACTAGCTCCTACTTCATTGTTGTCTGGGCAGAAAATAAACTTCCTTTCCTTTCTGTGAACATTTGAACATCTTAAGGAAAGAAGCATGGCTGAATCAAACTAATTTCTAATCAAGTTTTTACTTTCTGATAATTCCTTGTAAGAGCTTGATGCAATTCACTCCACAATTCTACAGTACTCAACACCTTATCTTGCCTGCACTAACTTAACAAATTTCAAGTATTCTTAGTTTTTAGGATTAACAACCCCCCCATCCAGTAGCAGTCCTAGATCTGCTTTGCTCACATATGAGAACAATATCGAGCTGTTCTGCTAGCTTGTTTGCTGCCTTTTCCCTCCCACAAGGTTTTGAAGAATGTCGCTTAGGATTATGAGATGTTTCGCATTCTTCAAACTGAAATCTAACGCTGCTAATCCGAACAGCCAGACCTTTTGGCAGTTAGTTCCTAGTGCAGAGCTCTGCGATGGTCCAGCTGAAATACTGCGTGAAATACAGCTAAACGTGTCAGGGAGAGGGCCACCTTTGGAAGAAAATCTCATTAAAAAGTTTAGTTTAACAAGCTGGTGACAGGCATTTCACAAAGCAAATCTACAAATTAAAGTTATTGCACATACATGCCTCACTGTTCAGTTTTGTCTTAGAGTGAAGTCGATTCATTAAAAATATACAGAAGTGAATCTTAGAATAAGATAAAACGAATAGATGCATACCTTTGTATAGGCAATCCACTCTGAAAGAAAGTGAGATAGTCTTGTTACTTGGTCAGAACACAAGCCAGAAATGTGATTTTGTGAAATTTGTTAAGAGATAAGTGCCACATAGACATTGACTAATTATTTTCACTGTTGTGGAGAAATGAGGAGAACTCATTTGAAATCCAGAATGTCTTCTATATTTGAAGGGGGACAAAAGTAACTTTTGGTCTGTGGCACAAAACTAACTGGTTAGTAAAGAGCTACACACCTATTTGATACCGTCTGCGTTAGTGAAACGCGCATGTAGGTGCTTTGCATAAGGACGGAGTCAAGCGTTTAACTGTATCTGAATTTAACTGCTTGGGTGAGTAATGCGAGGTCTTTGGGAGCAGTTCTAGTAGCAAACCTGTCTTACGCAGTGCCTCTCCTATTCTCCCTGGAGTGAAGTTATGGGAGATAGCTGAATGGTAGTTTACCACCAGGGAAAGACGGAGGGCTACCTCCTCCCTTGCTTATTTCTCTTTACTGACTCTCACTGGATCAGTGTTTCTTTTTTTCTCGGAGAAGATTGAACAATTGCTTGTCATTTATGGAGCTGAATATAAAAATGGAGGGGGCTAGTAAGTGGCAGAGCTAGGCAAGTGGAAGTAAAGAAAGGGAATGTGACCTCTTTCTTTGGTAGTAGCGAACCTTAAATTTGGCTCAATCATCTTGAAAAACATCGTTCTTGGTTTTGTCGGGGTTGGTAATGCTATTCAGCAAAACAGAATAGAGAACCACCCTGGTTTAGGAATAACCTGGCTGAAGGACCCTGGAAATAAAATAATCTTCTAAACCCAAACCATAACTAGATAAATTACTTAATCTTGTTCTTTCACAGCCCCACAAAAAGTTATACTGGCCCACTAAGGTGAAAGGACAGAGGTGGGAAAGAGTTGCCGGGTGCAGGAGCAGACAAGGCCAACCTGCTCACCAAGAGACAAGGCTGGAACCATTGTCTCGCTGATTTGGAAGGAAAAATCTCCTTTCCTGGTGATTGTAGAAGTTGATCTGTTGTAGGGCCAGGTTGCAGTTTAGGTTAAGAACTGTAGATTTGTTTGTGCATTGGGCCGTGATGGGCCAACACTGAATATGCAAGACCGAAAGGGAGGTTGCATCATCCTATTCCTCTTACCTGAACACCCTCCTGTGGTGTAGGGCTGGGATGGAGGAGTCTCCTAGGCAGCGTAGCAGAGTTGGCTCTCCGAGAGTTTTGGAGTGTCTTATTGGGACTGCCATTGCAGAGAGGATCTTTTTGGCTTGGTAGCTTTGATCTGGGGCAGGTAGACCCTGAATCTGGTATAGTTGTCTCAGACTTGGCTTTGGAAGACAGCAATTTTGCATGGATGCAAGAGGGCAATGACGATGAGGAAGCTGTAGTGCACCGAAGTGGACTCTTACAAATGTGGTGGAGAGAGCCAGTGTATTCCTTTTGATTTCCCAACCGAGCTGTGTCAGAACAATCCTGAAACGACAGTGCTTGTGAGGCAGAGGCCATCCTTAGACGCCTTAAAGTTGGAGAAGTGGAAATTCTGGCCAAAGCATGCCGGTCAAACTGGAAAGGTGCATGATGGTTCCCAATGCACTCTTCTGTGGGAAGCTTCAGAAGTGAAGACTCTATATAAGCCCGTCTTTGAATGCTGTCACCTGGAGGTATGGTGGTGTCCATACAAACCGATACTGCCTGTGTTTCACTGGGACTGAAGACATCTTCTGGACTGCTGCTTCCAGACATAGCAGAGTTTTCTTTACGAAGCTCGGCTTCCCTGTTTAGAAGTTCCACACAGATGCAGGTTTCTTTGACCAGGTCCGGAGAGCAAACAGAGCTTGGTTGATGCATTCTTTATTTGCAGCATATTTATAGTTTTTTATACCTAGGACGCATGATCAGAAAAGCTTCGTAGAAACTTACTGTTTGCGTTTTTGTAATGGGAGGATATGCAAATGGTAAAAAATAATAATAAAAAAGTATATATGTGCAATAGTACAGAAATAATTGCCTACACTTTGAATCCTGCTTAAATGCAAGTTTAAACAGCTTCAGAACCTTATTTCAGCAAGCTGTTTAAACAGCCACTATCTTTGAGGGTGCTAGCAGTGTCAGCGTCAATCAGCAGAACTAATTAGATGGTAAAGACTAACTGTGTAATTAGGAACTCTGCTCGTCTGGTTGCCACTCCCCCATCCATAAATGAGATTGTGATACGGCTGTACGCGGGACAAAAATGAAGTTGCCAGCTATCAAGACTCCTACTTGTTGCAAAATCGTTTATGTACAAATACTAATTACTTGCTGAATGCTTAAGCAAATACAATGTAACATTTATGTAAGGTGAGTCTAATAATTCTCGCTTTTCTTTTTCAG